GTATAGTTTCCTTTTTATTTATTATGCTTAGTGTTTATAATACCTCTTGAGTCTGTAGTTTGCAGTCATTTGCCAATTTTGAAAACTTATCAGCTATTTGTCTCTTCAAATACCGCTTCTGCCTCATTCTGTCTCCTTTCATTCTATGTCTTGAATTATAAGCACATTAGATTTTTTTTTTTCAATCATGGTCAAAAGACTCTTTTTGTTCTTCAACCAGATATTTTCTCCTGATTTGTATTCCAGTTCAAGAATCCTCTCTTCAGCTATGTTTAAATTTATTAAGCCTTCTACTGAGTTCTTATTCCCAATATATATTTTCAAAATGTACTTCCAGTTCTCACATTTCCATTTGATTCTTTGTTGTTTCCAGTTACTGGCTGAAATTATCCACCTTGTTATTGTTTTCTATATAAACTCAGTTATTTTAAAGTCTTTGATGTTTTTAATATTTAGATTTCTTATGGAACTTTTTTCTTTTTCCCCCTCCTGTCTTGATCATTTGGCCTTGTAGTCTGATATGTCTATTTTTTTAAAATAGGTTTCTAAACAGTTTTATGAAAAATGTAGAGATAATCCAAGGCTGTTGCTACTACTATCTTTTTCTAGAGAATTTCCTACTGTCTCCTTACAATATATCACTTTCAGACTATAAATAAATATATATATATAAATATATCACTTTAACCTAAGTAGAGATTTAGTAGATTTTGAACTTGGGCTTTAGTCTTTGAGAAGGTTAGTCAAATTCTGGTTTAGCCTATAGTTCCAATGTGTCTCCCTTCTGGGATCCCAACAGAAAGTTTGGGGGTGTTTAACAGGGCTCCATTCTCTTGGAGGATTCTGAATTCCAAGTTTTGTTTCACAAGCCCAGTAAGACTGCTTGAGCTTTTCTCATCTCAATCTTTCAACCATTACTTTCTGGTCACTTTTCAGCCTCTGCTTATAAATTGGTAAATGCTTCAAAAGATGTGTTGAACACTGGGTTCATATTCTGTACTTCTTTTCTCTAGGACCTTGGCTCTCCAATTTTAACAACTACTTTCACTATGCAAACTTCATTGTGTTTTTGCAATATAACAATATAATCTACAAGCCCATAACTTTTTTTAAAAAAATTGTCTTTTCTTAAAATTTTTTCTTAAAAATTGTCTTAGTTGTAGGTGGACAGTATCTTTATTTTTATGTTGTGCTGAGGATCGAACCCAGTGCCTCATGTGTGCTAGGCAAGCACTCTACCATTGGGTCACAACTCCAGCCTCAATTTTGTGTCTTCTTAAAGAAATTAAATAATGCTCAAGTCTTCTCTATTCTGGTCATCAAGAATTCTATTTTCTTGGGATTATTTCTAGCCTAACCACAGGCCCTATTTACAGATCAGATGTATATATTTGCTAAAGTTACAGTCTAGCTGGCCAATAATATATACATTTGATCTGTAAATAGGGCCTGTGGTTAGGCTAGAAGTCGAAAAGTATGGAAAACTTTTCCATACAAGTGGACAAGTTTTATCACTATGTGATAAATGACTAGAATTTTCACATAAAGCAATCCTCAATAACAAAGGGATGGTAGCCAGAGGTGAAACTGAGCCTTTCCCATACTGCTTTCTATGGGTTGCATGTATTCTCATCTGGACCTTGTTCTTCCATGATGATGAGCATGAATCAGTCCTGCCTGTGCACTAGGTGAACATGTGGGTGGGGGAAGGCATTGAATAGAAGGCCAGCTGAAAGATCTAAGTGGTACAGGACCTTTTCTGGGCTGAACCACACCTGAGCAAAACTCTCATCACTAGGAAGGATTTTGCTGGGTCCTTTTCACACAAGAAAGGGGAAAAAGAAAAACACTACTGAGTAATACTATATGCCAAGCACTTTCACAAACATCTAGTTTTCACAGCTCTATATTGCTGTTAATAGTAACTTTCATTTCATCATTGAGAGAAAGAGCCTAGAAGAAGTTAAATAACCAACCCAGTGAGGAAAGGACTAGACCCGGACTCATACCCACTGCTTTACTGAACAACCTAAAGTCCAGATCAAATTAACATAAAGAAATGTTGTTTTCTTTGGCTGGTGATATAAATGAAATACTTAAGAGGGACAATAGAAATTCAATTTTCTTTGCCAAAGCTTAACAGTGCCTATGCTGGACAAAATTTTCATTGTACATGCTGCTCCTGTGAACTAATATACATACTCTGGGTTGCTCTTGCATAATTTCAGATTGAAGAGCATACCTAGCTGAGAGCATGGGAACCTGAGCTGCAACACATTTATACCTCACCAACAGTAAGTAGAGAAAGGGGTAAGGAGAGATGGCAGGGGAGAGAAGGAGAGAGAACAATAAAATAGTGGGGCTGATTCTGCCTGTTTCTCCACACAGTGAACACCTATCCTGTTGTGAGAGTGACAAGAGGAATTATTTGTTTATATTGTACTGTAATTTGTTTAGTATTAACAAATAATTGGGAAGGTAAAAAGTGAAGGAATATTCAGGATCTTTTTTCAACTGTTTCAAAAAGTTACAGTACAGCTGGTCAAACTGAAAGTGAGGCTTTAATGGCTACATTAAAGGTAGGATCAGGTGAACTGCTTTTCTGTGGAGGTTCTTCAGACTATAATCTTATCAACTTTTGGTCTATGTAAACATGAAAGTTTCCTTGAAATAAAATATCCTTGAAAAATATTTTGGGGTAAAACCTAAACAACCTTTGCCTCATTTATTACAAAAGTTTGTCCAAGGGGCTGGGGTTGTGGCTCAAGTGGTAGAATGCTCACCTAGCATGTGTGAGGCACTGGGTTCGATCCTTGCACCACATAAAAATAAAAATATTGTATCCACCTAAAGCTAAAACATAAATAAATTTTAAAACATATATATATATATATATATATATATAAAAGTTTATCCAATAAAGGTTTAAAACTGAAATATCATATCTATTGCAGCCTACATTTGGTCACTTTCTAATTTTTAAATTAGTAAACAAATTTTCAACATCATACATTGTTTCTATTCATAGCATGCCTATTAAGAAATATAACAACTGCATTTTGATGCCAACTGTCTCTGGTCCTAAGGAATAAAAATCCATTCTTTCAAGATGCACAGGCATGCATGCACATGTATGCACACATGAATATGAAATGCACCACTTTCTAGGTTACTCAGACCATGATTAATTAACATATGAAAACTTGATGTAAGTTAAATTTCAACACCACACAGCAGTAGATTCCAATATTAACAGATAACAAATTTTCTCCAGGATTGACAGATAGCCTCACCCTTTTAATATATTCATTGCACTTTTTAGATCTTGCAAAAATTCTGTGTATCCTGAACAGGACTTGTTGTTTTTCAAAAAAAGTCTTGATGCTAAGACTTGAAACATGTGAAAAGAGGAAAAGTACATTAAACTATATTAATTATAAATAGTAACAATGTCATCAAAAGTCCTACATCTCCTGATGACTGTTGAAATAAAATAATGACTCATCATAAATAGGAAGAAAAGGAAAAGGAAGAGCCACTTTGATTTTCACTAGAATAAAACTAGGCAAAAGAGGAACTATATTATTAACTTAGGAAAATACTGCTGGAAGGAAAAATTGTATTGAGAAAGACGTTAATGCAACAAGGCTCTCTAGAGAAAAATGTTAAAATACTTGGATGACTTCTCCAGCGTTGTAAGTTGGCTGGTATCTTCAGGAGGGCCACTGAACCAATGAATTTCAATGGACAGAAATGTAATAAATGCTTCTATGAGTTTTAAAAAATACTTTAACCTTTTGTGCACCTAACAACAGAGCCCTAAAATACATGAAGCAAAAACTGACAGAATTGGGGCTGGGGTTGTGGTTCAGTGGTAGAGCAGTTGCCTGGCATGTGTGAGGCCCTGGGTTCGATCCTTAGCACTGCATATAAACAAACAAATAAGTAAATAAATAAAAATAAAGGTCCATTAACAAAAAAACCCTGACAGAATAGAAGGGGAAAATACACAATTCAACAATAGCAGCTAAAGACATCAATACCCACTTTGCTTGATAGAGCAACTAGAGAGAAGATAAAGAAGGAAAAGAGAAGATTTGAAGAATACAATTAAGCAACCAGACTTAATAGACATCACAGAACACTCTACATAACAATAGTAAATATATGTTCTTCTGAAACTGTGCATGGAATATTCTCCAGGATAGACTATGATAGGTCATAAAATAAACTCCAATAAATTTGACATGATTGAAAATCAGACCAAGTATGTTCTCCAACCAATGAATGATGTTAGAGTGAATTCAGAAACCTATATACAAGGAGACTTGGAAAATTCACAAATATTCTGGTCTTATTGCTCAAGCATACAATTTAATACAACAAAATATTTCAATGTTTTCCTCATCAATAAAGCAAAAACATTTCATTCACACATACAAAATTGCTCTCATCCAACTCTTTCAAATTTTCTTTTTAAAAAATGAATACTAGGTAAACTATAAAAGAACATCTACAACAAATATATTACTAATCAGTGTGCATTTTGTAAACTTTTATACTCATTTCTTCACCCACAAATATTTATTGAGCACTTACTACATGAAAAGCACTCTACTATGTATGGGAAATACCAAAGGGAGCAAAACGGTTCAAATCCTTGCTACCCCAGAGATGGAGCTAAAATCCTGGGGGAGGCAGATCACCTCCAAACACAGGAAAAGTTATAAAAGGGTGCACAGCACTTTTGAAGAAAATAAAATGGAACAATTTAATTTGAGTGCCTGAGGGAGTATTACTATGCAGGACAACTCTACTCTGCTTTCTACTTGGGCACAGTGGGAGCCTACATTAAGATACCAAAAAATAGTGTTATCGTTATTTCATTGGGAGTCATACACACTGTTTCTGAAATCCATACAAATGAAATTCAGATATGTCATCTCCAAATCAGCCTTTGAAACACAAGTCATTAAATAATACTCAACAACACAGTCTTTTTTTATTATTTATTTCTTTTAATACAAAGCTTTGGCATTAGCAATTTTATGAAAAAATAAAATGTACTAAAAATAAATGCTTGTGTGGCATGATTGGTAAATGATGCACAAAAATAGGTTCTTTTTTCCTTCAAGGCAATCAGTCAGAAAGCAGTTTTTTTTCCTTCTTCAAAACCACTCTACCCTATGGAATAAAAGGAAAAGAAATGTCATAAATTAGTTAAAGGGTAGATGTCAATGTTTAAAAAAAAAACAAACAGAAAAACGATTCTAACTAAAGGGTGGCCTAGGACTGTCCCCAACTATTTCCTAATCCTTTTTGGTAAAGCCAGTAAGGCCATTAATTTGCCTGAAATCAGCAATTTCATATCTGTAGTCAAGTGGTTTGTCATCTTAAAAGTGTTTTAATATTCTCGAAAGAAATGCAGGAAAAAGTATCAGGCTGACATTATCTTGTTTAATATTTAGGGACAATTATCACACAATTTACAACTTCTCCTGGATTAAATAGTTGCTAAATGTTGAGTGTGCTGGGTCATTAAAATATGTTCCTTCCTTTAAAATGTGCTCCTTTTTTACTTATCAAACAAGAATGTCATTACTTATAATGAAGTTAGAGTTGAAGAGCCCAGACTTGTAGGGATGCAGGACATGGCTCTTTCTTCCAGGAGTTTGTCAGATTTTACATGTAAGTCTGTGTGTTTCTATCCCTAAATAAAATGTACCTAAAGTCTTTTCAAGTTTTCCATCTGTCTCTCAGGCTCATGCTGCCTTCTTCACAGACCCTGGAACTGCTGCAGCTGCCTTCACTTCCTAGCCCCTTGTATTCTTGCTAATTTCATTAGGCCCCCCCTGCACAGTCTTTCATTTTGAAGGTTCCCAAATCAAGTCTTTAGCTCAGTTTGAGACCTATACTTCAAACTGCTATAATCTTTGGCTATCAAACACTTTTCAAGGATCTCTTGATTTCATCTCCTCCCCACCATCCTGACATCTTCCTTCAATTCCATATTTTTATCCTAACCTATCTTCTTGCCTCTATTCTCTACCACTTCAAAGAAACTTCTCAATCACCAGGAATTATCTTTCTGCTGAAAAGTCTTAGATGCTACCTATTATTTATAAGACTAAAGTCCAAATTTTATAGCCTGCATGCTGTCACTGCCACAAGCTAGTACCTACAACAGATACAACAGCCTCCCTGAGCCTGCTGTTTTTCTTCATTTTGTGCCCTAATTATGCTCTTCCTGGTTCCTAAGTTACTTATTGCATGAAGCCACCCCACCCCCATTTTTCTTAACACTCTCAGTGCCAAAGCAGTAGTTCTTCACTCCTTCTCTTTCATCACTTCAAACTCCTGCAAGGGAATGCCAGGCCTCTGCTAGCTCCATAGATGAGCCTGATGCCTAATGTGCAGTGGGAAAATGGCTATAAAAATGAATGAGAAGGAGTCATTCAACTTTTTTTTTTTTTTTCCGATACTGGGGATTGAACCCAATTTCACTTAACCACTGAGCCATATCCCAGCCCTCTTTTGTATTTTATTTAGAGAAAATGGTCTCATTGAGTTGCTCAGGGCCTCGCTAAATTGTTGAGGCTGGCTTTGAACTCACAAGCCTCTTGCCTCAGCCTCTGGGATTACAGTGTACGCCACCATGTCCAGCAGTCATTCAAGTTTTTGAAAGGATGTTCCCAACTTTACAAAAAGCCCTATGCCTTATTATTTATTATAATATTACTATTTATAATATTTCCTCAGAAAAACTGGCTATTAGATAAAAGGACTTTATAGAGGTGAATCAACATCTTTAAATACACTTTATTTTGCTACTCTTTTTTTTTTTTTTGGTACTGGGGATTGAACCCAGGGCCTTGTGTGTACAAGGCAAGCACTCTACCAACTGAGCTATATCCCCAGCCCTGCTACTCTTTTAAGAATTATAAAGTAATGTAGTCATAATATTCCTAATGTAGCCAAAACATGTAAAGAACCATTGGGGAAAAAAAGAAAAATAAAAAGACCACTGCCAAAAAACAGACATCTAATCAAAGGTTCTGGCTGCCTTTAATACTCTTTTTTGTTTTTTGTAATCATATTTCAAGAAACTAAATTTGTCTTCTTCAACCACATTATTTGGAGCCCTCAAATGACTCTCTGGAGTGGTTGAAGACAAGCAGTGTAAAGCAGAGTTGGAACCAGAACAAATGGGTTTGAATTCAGTGTTCTTCTTCCTACAGCACCTCTCAGGGGTTATTTAATCCTTCTGAGCCTCAGTTTATTCTTTTATATCTAAATGTCTTATACTTAAAAGTGGCTAAAAGGAGAAATAATTACCAAGAGAAACAAGGGGACCCAATATGTAGCAATACATCTCAAACACAGGGCAAATTTAAATCTTTGCTGGAATTGCTACAAGAAAGGCATTCTCATTAAAATAAAAATGAAGACAGTTACTAGAATGAGCAAAAAGTATTTGGCTGAGAACTAAAAATTTAAAATTCTTTAGGCCAGTGTTAAACTGAAGGATACCACCTATTAGCTTATAAAACCAATTTAGAAGTCCATGACTAGCATTAACAAAAACCAAGTATAAGTCAGATTACACTAAAGAATCATGTCTGTTAGTAAAATTTCTGTTTTACTTATCTACATGGGAGTACTGTGTCATGATGCAAAATGTATCTTACTATGGAAGAGGGTGAAAAAAAAAAGTCTGACAAATACCATTTTTGAAACTTAAGATTCCTTTAAAAGGGGCCAGGAAGGCAACCCAAACCCTATTCTTGGGCTCTGATTCTTCCTAGGAGACAATTCAAGAGGGAAATCTATCTCTAACCTCGATAAACAGTAGCTATTTTCATCTTTAGGAGTTCTTTGAATATCTGGAAAGACCTCTTGCATCATCTCTGTTCCCTCTTTACTAAACCAATCAGCCTCAAGACATTAAATGATTAATTTTCAGATCCTTTTATATTGAGATGTGCTAATCTGTCAATTTTCCTCCTACAGTCCTGAGCAGAATAATTCAGAAATAATCAGTACTGAGCAAAACATAAATGTCAATTCCTTTTATCTGGTTGATAATTTTTTTTTAATACTACCAAATCTAAAAGGCAGACAGCTTGCTAGGAATATCAGAAAGCTAGAAACCAGTTTTTCTTTTTTTGCAGTGCTGGGGATTGAACCCAGGACCATGACCATACTAAACAAGCACTCTATCACTGAGCTATACCCCCAGCTCAAGCTAGGGCTTCCTGATCTCAAGTTATGATAGGGGAACATTTTTCCAGTTATTTCGTCTCATTAACCACATCAGATTAATTTCCTTCTGTGGAGACAGTTTTGAAGGTTAGGATGTGATCTCTATGAATCACAATTCTAGGAAATGGAAAAGGGCTCTAGAGGATACCTAGTCAACTTAAAATCTATCTTACACTGTTGACATACTTGTTCCTCAAAAGCAATAATGAAAATATGTATCTTTCTTATAGTGAGAGAAAAATAATAGGAGCATAAATATAAGCTAGTGGATGTTGAGATTTCACAGGGTTTATCTGAATGACAGAAGCAGAACAAATAAAGCACCTCCCATGGGAGCTGAAGTTTAATAATCTTCCTTACCTAGGTACAAAAAATAGAGGTATGAGGAAGCTAACACACACACACACACACACACACACACACACATTTACCTTGCATTTATTTGCTTCTTTGACTACCATCCTGTTTATATTTGCAAAGTCCCCAAATTCACTACATTTGTTTGCAGTGTTAAAAAATAAAATTTAAGGCACAATTAGTCACAGTAGAATACTTAACTATCTTTAAATATGTTTATATATGTCTATCTTATAAATGGGTAAAGTTACCCAGAAAATTAAATCAGGGTGATTAAAAAAGGGATCTCACTTTGGCTTTTTACTTTTTTGGTGGATAAATCAAAAAGAGAAGACAGATTTCAAAGAATTTACAAATGAATCACAATTTTAATTTATTTGCCAAATAAACCTCTTCTCTGGAATAAAATCACAGGGATTTTTCATCAACATCTTTGAGACAATGGGAAAGAATAACTATTTGTTATGCTTTCTATTGTCTCCCACAATAAAAATGGACTTTAAAAAATTAATTCAGCTGGGCACGGTGGCACATGGTAGCACAGGAAGCTGAGGTATGAGGATTATAATGTTCAAGGCCAGCTTCAGCAACTTAGTGAGATCCTGTCTCAAAATAAAAAACAAATAAATAAAAAGGACTTTAGTGGTAGAGTGCTCCTGGGTTCAATCTTTAGTACCAAAAAACCCGTAAATTTAGCTGGGTGTTATGGCCCAGATCTGTGATCCCAGCTACTTGGGAGGCCAAGGTAGGAAGATCCCTACTGGAGGCCAGTGTGGGCAACTTGGTGAGACCTTGTCTCACAATAAAATAGCACAGTGGTAGAGGGCTTGTTTAGCATGCATGAGGCCCTGGGTTCAATCCCTAGCACTGCAAACAAAACAAAACAAAACAAAAACCCCAAATCAACTCACAATTACTGTAAAAACAAAAAAGCAAATGCATAAAAGCACAAAATAGAGAGGAAAACATCACCCCAATTTCTAACTTAAGTTAATATTTTGGTAACCACCCTTTCATACAATGACATGTGTACATATACATGTAAGTGTGTACACACACACACACACACACACACACACACACACACACTCAATTTCTCTCTCTAAATGAGATCATGAATATTGTTCTTCAGAGTGGTTTTGACTGAAGGTACAGAAAAAATAGTCAAATGAAGAACTGCAGTATCAACTCTCTACAAAGATTGGGCTAAGACATGGATCTAAAAGATCCATGACTTAGATTCTGAGTCATGCAAGCATTTATGCATGGAACTGAAATAATATGACCCTGGTACTTAGATTTATAATAGGTGCCATATTTAATTGAGCATTCTCGAAAATATCTCATGCATGAAGTGAGCATCTGGCAGAATCTTAGTGGCAGTCAGGTGACCATTAAATTGCTTAATGATTCTCTAAAAGTACCCAGAGTGTCACTGTTTGCTTGTTCTGATTATGACTCATTAGGAAAAATTTTAAGAAGTAGGCTTCTATTACTATCTTGCCTGATGGGTCAGCATGAAAGCAAGCAAAAGAGGTAGGTGGTTGCAGTAAAAATAAATATTTCCTTTTGAACTGAGGTTTGAATCATAGGCACTCATGGAGCTCCTATGTTTTTATATCCTTTTTTATGGAAGAAATAAAATTTATTTGCCAAGTAATAAAGGCAGATGGCCACCTTATTCATAGAACTTTGAAAGAATTTCAGCAGAATTGGTTTGGTTAACATTTATTGAGCACTTATTATGTACTAGGCACTGTGCTAAGCACTTTAATATGCTAATTCTCATTAATGACCCTGAGATGTAGTCTTACAGTTATCTCCATTTTATGGACTAAAATACACTTAAGATAAACTTAATTGTCTAGGTCTTACAAGTAAAAAATGGAGGAGCTGAGAGTGAAATCCAGGAGTGTATGACTTTAGAGTTGAAGGAATTAACAAGGTGCTCTGCTGAAGAACAGAATCAGAAGTCCCCCAAATACAAGCAGCTGGTTGTTGACCTAATGGCTGAGGTAGAGACTACTCATCTCAAGGCTGAAGAGTGCCTATGACCATAACATCCTGCCAATATGTAATGGCATGGATGCCAAAAAGTACTTGTATGTACTCAGCCAAAAGATCAAGTTAGAAGTAATAAGATGTCACTGGAAGAGGAGGTTACTTGCCCATTGTTTCTGAAACTGGATAATATTAATTAAATCAATAACATGAGTCTTTTGGTATTATTAATCACTTAAAAAACAGGATATAACTGAATAGAGAGCACATGAAGTCTACTAGTATCAATTTAGGTTCAAATTTGGCAGGTCCCAGGGTTGCTTCCATCTCTGATTACTTTTCATGAAAACTGGTAAAAGAAAGGACTTAATTGAAAATCAAAACTTAAAAAACAAACAAAAAACCAAAACACCTTTCCCATATTTTATCACTGTAGAAAGTTACTTTTGGAAAAATCACTGGACCAAAATGGACCTTAGCAGTCATCTAGCTCAATTTTCTATCCTTCATCTTACCTATAGCAGTCTCCACAAGCAGTATCTACTTTCTGTCTGATTCATAGCCCTGGGCTCTCCTGAGGCAAAGCATTCCACCATTAAGTAGCCAACCTATGTTCTTTCCTTATTTAGTTGAAATCTGCCTTCCTATAAACTTCCTTTTGGCCCTCCTGAAAATATAGTTTCTGCCCCTTGAAAGTATAGTTTATATCGATTTTTTTCTTCCTGACAGTCTTCCCTAAACATTTGGAAACACCAGGTCCTCTTCCTGATAGTTTCTTATAAGCTAAACATCTCAGTTACTGTCCTTAATCTTAGGCAAGGGTGCCAGTGTTCCCCCAAAAGCTGAATATTTAAGTCTCCAGATAAAGTCTGATAAGCTCCCAAAAGTGGGGACTATTCTTATTGATGGTGTGGACACTGACATTCTTTACATACAAGACTATGCTGGTTCCCTCAGCATTTGTAACATGGACGATTCATTTTAAGCTTGATGGTACATGAAAACTTTTAGATTTTTTTCTCAAGTGAGCTGTTGTTGAACAAGGATGTGAACTCCCAATCTGTGTAAATGACTATAAAGATATGTTCATAGAATAATTTATTTTGCTAGCTATGATCCCACTGGTATCAGTATGGAATTGGTGGGAATCCAATTCTCACCACCTTTATGAAAATTAATCTACATATTTTCTGGGATCATCTGGCACATGCAATCCAAAAAACAATTTGTTACTTACTCATTAGCATTCAAGCTAGCTGTGGCTCTGATGATCATGTAGCAGAGTGTGAGAGCACTGAGGAGGCCAAAACTGGCAATAATAAACCATTCTTCTGTTGACAAAGGAAAGGGAGGAAATCATTCTGGGGAGAAGGTTAAGTCAAATTGATGTCAACATTTCCCTCAAATGCAACGAAGCAGACGTCAACGGAGGTGTAAGCCAAGACTGGCTCAAGGAAGTGAAGCAGGAGGAGGTTTGCCAGAGAGCTACTAACTGGAGAAGGTTAGTGGAAGTACTGGTAAAAGCTGCAAGGGAGAGAGGAAAGCATGGCCCAACCATTTCTTCCAGTTTAGGTTCTGAGGAACGTGAGAACTATGGCCACCAAAAATTGTGTAGGAAAAATATGTATATAAAATTGCACATGGACATATTTATTTTCATTGTTAACTGAAATGACGATAGAGTAACCATACTCATAACCATCTTTCAAATTTCACTTTGTCATTTCTGCATGGTTGATTCACTCATTTCTAGGTAGCTAAATGCTCAGAAATATGGCATAGTGGCTCTCAAAGGTCTTGTGGGCACTCCAAGCAGTCTCCAAGTTTGCCTTCCGAGATACCACATTTACAATTTTTTCTCTTATGTGCAGGTTTCCACAGGACATTAAAAGGATATCTCACTGGGTATAAAGAAAATGAGTACCACCCTTTATGAGTCCACTGCGGGAAGCAACACTTGTTTTTCTGGTGTTAAAGTGAAGTAAGAAGGGTAAGTGACTGACAAGGTACTGAGCCCACCAAATGGTTGAAAACCTCTGGTATACAGAGATCTAAGGCTATCTATAGTTCTCTCTATGGTCAGTCAGTCAGTCAGTCTCTCTCTCTGCTTCTTCCTCTCTCCATCCAGGAAGTCAGTTACTATTTCCCCTTAACTTTAATATTCAGAAAACATTTATTTGGGACCTCAAAATCAACCTGAGAATCATTATGACTTCCTAAAGTCTTTTTTTTTTTTTTTTTGGGTGGTACTAGGGATTGAAACAGGGGCATTTAACCACTGAGTTATATCCCTAGTCCTTTTTATTTTTTGAGACAGGGTCTTGATGAGTTGCTTAGGGCCTTGCTAAATTGCTGAGGCTGGCTTTGGACTTGCAATTCTCCTGCCTCAGCCTCTTGAGCTGCTGGGATTGTAGGCATGTGCCACCATGCTTGCTCCTAAAAGTCTTAAGTAGGAAATATTTCTTAAGAGTATGCACTAACTAAGGCTGGTATTACTCAGTAAAATCCCCTTGATGTCTGTAGTAAGGCGAGAAGAAACATTTACACTTGGAACACCAAATCTTCATGTGCAAAAGTTGTGTGTAACATAGTGTTTCTTTATAGAGTTTGGAAAATCGTAAAACTGTATGCAAAATTGTGTATGCATTGACACTTTTCTAGAAAAAGGATTCTGGCTTTTAAGGTAATGACCTTAAATGGTTAAGACAGATTGCTCTTCATGATTCCAGGATGCTGAATTTTTTCTACATGCATATCTTTGTCCTCATCGAAATTTATATTATTAAAATGCTTAGTAAACTCTTAGTGCAGCCACTGCCTTTTGGATTAGTTTTCTTCATCATCAGATTCAAGTTTTTTATTTATATCAAAATGAACCTCTGAGAATTCATGTAAAATCTACCACTTTAAACTATATATTTTAGGTTAGAAATATATATACTGAACCTTTAAAAAATCAAGAGATGAAAGGTTATCAACATCAAGGAGCTTAACACAGCATTCTTTTTGTCATATTAAGAACTTTTTTTTTTTTTTTTTTGTCTTTTGAAAGAGCTGGGGATCAAACCCAGGGCCTTGCATGTGTTAAGCATGCTCTCTACCACTGAGCTACATCCTTAGCTCATATTCTTAGAGACTTTTGTACATGATATAAGCAGACTGACATTATTTATAACTTCAGCTATATATTTTTGTCTTTTTTTTTTTTTTGCTATGAGTTCACTTACAAAAACTAGTTAAATGAAGGAGGAAGTAAACATTCATAATAATACCCAGCAGGCTCAGGAGTACTTAGCACTGCAGCCAGAACCTTGGTAGCCTCTGTTCTCCTAACTACTTATTTAGCACAGTGCCTTGCACACAGTGGGTGCTGGGTGAATGTACTGTAGTTGGTATGGTGCTACAGGGATTTGGAGGGAAAAGCAGAGGTAATTTGGATCTAGCTTAATCATACAAACTTTACTTATTGGCATCATGTGTAAATTCTGCTAAAGGCAATTAATTTGGTACATGAAGTAATATTTTATCATCAAAGCATAAGATTTTGAGGACATTTCTGTATACAATATTAGAAGGTCTGTACTTTATGTAGTAGTAGGTGCTCAATAAATGTCTAATCAATGAAGGACTTACAAAAAACTCAATAAACAAATAACCTTCAACTCCTTTATTATTAGATCCAATTTTTAAAATTTAAAAAATCATAAAAAATAAATAAAATAAAATAAAATCTAGATCACAAAACTTCAATGTTGAAGTAGGAAAACCATTAAATACTATTAAAACAAATCACTGGGAAATGGCAAGAAATGAGCCAAACCATATCAAAGAACAGTTTTACTTATTTCAAACTGCATGAAGGATTTGGGAGTTCAGATAACTGATCAAACAAAACCTGAGAAATAATTTTCTAATAATTATCTCTGGTTGGTTCCACAAACCACATGAGTCTTAATACATAAAGAAGACTTATTCTGTAACTATTTCTCCCCATTTTACTGACTCCCAGTTGCAAGTGCAGCCCCATCAGCTTCAGGGATTGAAGCTCTAGGCAAGGCAACAGCATAAATTGGAAAAGGCAGCACCAGAGCAGCGACGAGAGATGGGTGATAGGTTGTTAGATGGAAATGCGCGTAAAGAATGAAATTGAAGTAAAGAGTTGGCTTGTTACTGGGTGAATGTCTACAAAGTCCATACACACACCATTGGCCCACTCACACCATATGTAGGCATTCCCTTAAAACACTTTGTACATTTATTTTCTGTTAACAGTTCAACAATCAAGATGCTTATAATGAGCTCAGAACATTTCTTTTGAGGCAGGTTACCCTTTGGCTTTTCTTCCTTCTCATGTACAATTATAGCAAAGGGTTAAGTACCAAGAGACCAAACTTCTGAAAAAAATAAAATAAAATAAACAATGACATGCCATCTCAATTGTTCCTGAAGCCTTGAAATTTTAGGTTTAAATTCTAAATTAGGTTTTTACTAAGTGACCTGCAGCGTGGGAGATCAAGAGCACCAGTGCTCAGCTACCTAACATACCAGCATTGATACTGCTGGCCTACATCACATTCCAATGTCTCCTTAACTGTCTGTTTGCAATGCAAAGATTTCAAAACAAGGTTTATAGCAGCTACTAAGACAAACCTCTGAACAACTGTTCATCTAGTACAGCTATTTCTATTAATCAAACACCAATACACAAGCATCTTATTATAAAGTTCCATTATTCCAAACATCTGTTTTAACAAAAGTAATTACCTTCTCAGTTACAAAGTTGCTGGCCCAGGTGGACTCATCTCTCCCCTTAGCACTCACTGCATGCCCAAACCAAGCAGCAACTCGCCCTGTGCCTGGGTAAAGGGTCCCCACTTACTTGTTACTGCAATGTTGATTTCTCCTGTTCTAGGAGTGAGTTCCCCATCCTGAGGAAGAGGTGATATCCCCGAAGTTCGAAGTGGCTCAAGGCCAAGGGAGGTGTCATTGGCGAGGTCACCTAGGGCTGATCTTCGGTTAACTGCTTGGGTTCTGGTGAGCCTTTCCATATCAAATGCTACATTATCAGTACATGGCAGATTTGGCTGCAAAATATTTCCAGGTTAAAAATAATTGTAAAAAAACCAAGTTCTTTCATAAAACCCTGAATGTCTGATACCCTATTGTAAGGACTTCACCAAGTTCTTTCCATGCAATTTCTTCTCATTTCACTGCCTATCTATGTTTTCTACTCTTACCTAAAAGATTTTCTTCAAAAGGACCAGTTCATTTCCCAAAAATGTCACAAAGGAAAACCAAAATCCACTGTAGAAACTGAGAAAACTGGCCAGTGAATTTTTTTTTTTACAGATAACCCTTTATGGACATGACTTGTATGCACAGGAAATCATAATCATTATTATAAGGCTAATTAATATTCAATTTAACACCTTTATTTTACTTATTTTTATGTAGTGCCGAGGTTTAAACCCAATGGCTCATATATGCTAGGCAATATATGGTTGAGTTACAACCCAACCCCCTAATATTCAGTTTAAAAAACAATGTACTATATTACTTTGATTAATGTTAAATGTTAATGTTAAGGAACAGCTGGAATATAAAATGCCCCTCTCATCTTAAAGTAGATCAAAGTAGAAAAGACTTTTAAACTGAAAGAAAATGATCTATTTCAAAATCTAAGCAACTAATCCTGAAGGAGAGGTACACAAATACTTGGGGCCAAAGTCTACCATTTAAAAAGTAAGTATAAAATTCTTCTTTTTTGTACCAGGGATTGAGCTCAGAGATATTCAATCACTGAGCCACATCCTCAGTCCTTTTTTATATTTAGAGACATGATATTCCCAAATTGCTTAGGGCCTTGCTAAGTTGCTGACACTTGCTTTGAACTCAAGATCCTCCTGCCTCAGCTTCCTGATCTGCTGGGATTACAGACATGCTATAATCTTTTATATAGCTAAGCTATATTATCTCTGACAGGATCTCTGGGGACTGAGGATAAATGGGGCATTACTGTCCAAATGTACAGCACTTAAACTGTGATTTGATAGTATATTTAAAATAGGACTACTTAAATTTCTTTGGATTGCAAAGCTAAAATGAGGAGTTCATCTGTTCAACCAAACTCAGCTGTTGAGAATATTCATTTATTATATATGTATTTTTAAAATATTTTTTTAAGTTGTAGATTTATGTGGTGCTGAGGATCGAATCTAGTGCCTCACATGTGAGGCAAGCGCTCAACCACTGAGCTACAATCCCAACCCTCATTTATTATATTTTTGCAACCAGAAAGTATTTTATTTTCCTCTAAAAAAGCACAATCCTGGATATATACTTCTTTTAAGGAAATAAAGGAAGTCTCTAAAGTTCTTGGTAAGTCAGGGTTGGTCTTTGCACTGTCAGAGCCAATCTCTATGCCAATAGTTCTGTCAAAACTCTTTGCCAGGTTGTTCTTCTGAATCTTTTGTAATCTATAAGAAAGGTACTTGTTGGACTAACAAGGTTATCTGGCAAAAAAAAAAAAAAAAAAGCCAGTGTATTCTTGTGAGACTGTCATGTCTCCTATTATAACAAATATGTTATGTTGTTATTACAATTAGATAAGATACTATGCAAAAGCAATGACAAAATTGGAAACATACCACAATTCCCAGAGCCTTCAAAATATTAAGTTTGCACATAGGACAGGTACAATGTTCACTAAGCCATGGATCCACACATGATTTGTGAAAAACATGCCTATAAAATAATGGAGAATTATGTTATAAATTATATACTGAAAAACTGTTAGGTCAAAATGAAAACAATGAAATTTTAAGTTAGTTTGTTTTTCCTCCTTTTAACACATTTACAATACCCCAAAGACAAATACTGGAGGTTTATAAAAATATAACTTCTAGGGCTGGGGCTGTAGCTCAGTGATGGAGCACTTGACTAGTATGTGTGAGGCACTGGGTTCGATTCTCAGCACCGCATATAAATAAATAAATAAATAAATAAATAAATAAATAAATAAATAATTAAAGGCCCATCAACAACTAAAACACACACACACACCCTTTACAGAAAATCTAAACCCAATCTCATGTATGAATAGTACTATGTGATGAGAACAAAGTAGTAGGAGATCATTGTTTGGACGTTTTTATTTTGCAGTTGTGGGGATAGAACCTAGGCCCTTGTGCATACTAGCTAGGCAAGCATTCCACAACTGAACTACATACTGATCCTATTTATTTATTTATAAATAAAAAGAGACAGGGTCTCATTATGTTGTCCAGGTTGGCACCAAACTCCTGGGTTCAAGCCATCCTCATGCCTTAGCCTCCTATGTAGCTGAGATTACAGGCTCACACCACTGTACCCAACTTGGACTTTTTTAAAAAAAAATTTAATATTTATTTATTTTAGTTTTCGGCGGACACAACATCTTTGTTTGTATGTGGTGCTGAGGATTGAACCTGGGCCGCATGCATGCCAGGCGAGCGCGCTACCGCTTGAGCCGCATCCCCAGCCCCAACTTGGACTTTTTATCCTACCAAATTCCAAAAAAGACTTGAGGAAACCTAGCAAATTTATTAAGAATAATGGTATTCATACTTTGTAAATCAGTTATTCTTCTTATAATAATAGCTTATATAGAAAAATGGAATTTTGAAAACATATTAAGCCAGGGTTAAAATCAAGAGTTTTCTGTGTAAATTATTAATTAGTTTCATGGAACTCAATCTATGTTAAATATTTGTAGAAGTCACAGGGCAGCTGGAACTATTTTAAGCAGTGAACTGTGCCTAAGAACACTTGGCAAATTTCAGCTGAAACTTTGTGTGTGTGTGTGTCTGGTGGGTAGACATGGGTGATTTCCTCTCACATTCAGAACAGAAAATTACATCCTCGGGACAAGAAATAAGTCAGCCACAGAAGGGTTTGAATTCTTAAAAGAGGAATTTGTGCCCTTCAGAGGGAGAAATGACTTTGAGGGAGCTACAGAGATTATTCTGCAAGCTCAAGAACCCCTGGCTGAGAGCTCTGAGAAGCTGTAATTGAGACTGAAAGAAGCTTGGGGTCCTTGACAAATTGGGAAAGGAGTAGACACCAATACAAATTTTCAGGACACTTTTGGAAGACACACTAAAGTCTTAAGTTTAGAGTAAGGGAAATTTTGAGAATGATACTAAATTAGACCATGGTATGTCTTTAAAACCCCAATTGTTAATTTATAACTTAAACATTATGATTGCTGTTTTGAAAAATGCAGTTTTGGTTTAAAATGGGGTCTTTTTTTTGGGATTTGGAGTAAATATTCATGCATAATAAAACTTCAGTCAACAATATATACTGCTCTTCCATCACCACTTGATGACCTTGTATCATTTAAGGACAAAAATAAAGACTGTGAAGTCTGAATTTATCCATGTAATCTGAAACTTGCAGATAATGCATTTATCCAGAAACTCATCATACTTGAGGGCTTTTATTTTAACCTTAATGTTTTTACTTAAGAGTTTGAGTGCCAGTAATCTGTAAGGAAGACCTAAATTAGTTTAATACATATAAGGTGTTGTGCCTGCTTCTTATTACTTGTATCCATGTATGGGGAGTATTTTAGAGTGAGATGAAGAGTTCCTTACTGCAGGGCTCAACCCCAGGGGGCATCCTCACTTTTCAACAGTCAAGGTTGGCTGCAATCCAAACTAACTTAAGACTAGAACAAGGCTTTAACCCTTTTGGGGGATAGATCCCTTTAGATCTGATATAAATTATAGAACCTCCTCATAAAGTCACAAGGGTGCCTAATATCTTACATGTACTTTGGGGGGGGGCTTATAGACCTCTGAAGGTTTGGCTAATAAACAGGAGGGAGTGGAGTGACTGGGAATATGTTCCAAGTCAGTTCAGCATAGGGTGGACAATGGGATTTGGCTGGCTGATAGGTGGTAGAAGAGATAAGGTTATGGGACTCTGACTTTGGTGCTGAAGTGGGATGTATGCAAATGGGTGGAGGCAGCTAATATGGCCAATTGTGGATGAAAACCCTATTTTAAGCAAGTAGCAGCTACCTGGGGTAAACAATGGTTTGGCTCTAGCACTCCCTGCTCTGGCTGCATTTCTATTACTGGTTATTCATAGAGAACAAAGTGGTGTGACTCCCAAATTTGATTTCTAACTCTGCATGAATTGAGTATTCTCTACCTATCTGTTCCTTTAAGTGAACTCATTAAATGAATCTTTCTTATGTTGTGGTTCTTGAGTAAATCTTTCCTTGCAGGTTTGCAGATCTGAAAGAAAAAGTGCCCACTCTCTGTTTTATTAGACAATTACAATCTCTCCTCTATGTTATGAGGTACTGTAACGAAAGACAACAGACTAATGGGTTCTCTAGGGAAAAACTAAGAAAACCTTCCTTAGCTAGCTCAGAATCTGAAAGACTCTGAAAGATTCATTTAAAAAAGCTCCTTTTAGCTATTTGCACATACCCACACCCCAAGTCAAATAATCACCCCCAAACTCTGCTTCCTCTGACCTAGAACTTTTCTTTTTAGATTCCCTACCAGCTCAGCTCCTGTGCATCTCAACCCAGATCTTCAGTATCAACTCTTTTAGCACACTCCTTGCTTTTGGAGACAAAACTGAGCACTTGTTCTTTGTAGTCATCAGTCCTCTGACATAGCCCCTCCCCCTTCCTACCATCATCTTTATGAACAAGTACCCAGAGCTTGATGCCTTCTCTTCTTCATCACCTACTCTCTTCATCTTCTTGCTTTTGCATCCTCTGCTTTATTATTTCATCAAACCAAATATGGCCTTTCCCTCCCTGCTGCTATAACCATCAGATCCTTGATCAACTACACTTTCTGCCTCCCCACTGCCTCACCTGAAAGCTGTGTGGTCAGTAATGGGAAAGGTGGACTTGGTCTAACTCATGAGGTTATCTGGAACAATAAATGAAAAACTATATATGGAATACTGAGAGAAGTATATCAAAGGCTGTGTGAATGAAAGGTACATTAATTAAATAGGCAAAGCAATGTAAATATTTTACATGGCATCCCAGTAAATGGTAGAATGCTCTTATGGCACACCCTGGGCCCCAGAACATCTGGTGGGGTGCCTTTTCCCTAGCCAGAGGGTGGATCGTGGACATTTAGAGATTTCAGAAGGTGGCACCTGAGGCAAGTTAAAAAGGAAACCACTTCCATTGTTAAAATGAAAGACTTCAACAACAACAAAAAATACATAAAAGCAGAAAAGGCCCTAGCACATTTAGGGCTGAGTTTTGTACAGCAATGGGAAGCAGGTGATGTGCTGAGGAGCAATGAAACGTGAAAAGGAGCTTCAATCAGAGCTTCAACCAAAAAAGTTCTTTATTCCTATAAGAAATACTTTGGGATACAGAATGCAAAATATATAGAACAAGAAAGAAACAAAACCTGTAATACTGAAATACAATGCCCTTCCCCTTTCCTATTTCTCACATAGCCATAAACTAGAGAGGTCAGAAAAACAGCAGGGCTGGGGTGAGGAGTCTACATTGAAAGTGAGTTGTTTCACAGCTCTGCAGCCTCTGGGTGCCGTGTTAAGGACCTGGCAAACAAAAGGATCCAAGATTATTAAAAGTCAGAAACAAGAATTCCTTCCCCTAGCCAGGACTGACAGTAGATACATAGAAGCAGGCCCTCCCTCCAAGGTGGGGGTGATAGAACAACTCCTCAACAGTCAGCAGCCAGTTGACTGACCCATTTTAGCTCCCAAGCTAACATCTTAAATGTGTATTTCTCCAGGCTGCAGCACTCTACTTCTAAAAAGAGTATTTTTACCCACTAAAAATTTTGTGGCTAACCTTTAAATAAGATGACTGTTTGTTTCTAAGACATGCTGGCTAACGTCCAAAGGATGATCAACTGTAATCAAATGATATAAACAGGAGGTCCCCAAAGCATAGCCAACTGCCATCTGTCCACAGTAAATTAGTGCAATAGAGAATGAAAAGTAAAGGTCATGCGACAAAAAAACCCAGCAATCCATGAGAGGTCTGATATCTATAGATAGAAAGGCTTAGTTCAGTTTCCAGAAAGCCTTTCTTATAAAAATGAAGGACAGAAAGACACAATGCATCTGGTTGACTTCATCCCTTACTGAGGTAGAGAGGCAGCAAGGGCAAATCCTTCCAAAGACGGCTATGAAGGGGAGTCGCTATAGGTAAGTACATAGAAGGTGATGAATTTGAGAGTTTTTGAAACTGGAATAGAAAATGCTTGACCGTGATTAAAGCTGATGAGCAGAAACAGAAAAAACAAAACTGGAGGGAGCAGATAGAGAATCAATACAGCAAGGTCTCAGGCAGAAGGCAAAGAGCTGCAGACAGAGGCCCACGTAGAAAGAGCAACACCAAACCAGAAGGGGGCTGCCTCCTCCATTCTGACAGGAGGTGTAAGTGTGGATGGCAGTGTGGGGGCAGGCACACTGGAAGTGAGGGAATCCAACCACTATTTCTCTAGGTGAAGTTTACACTCTCAAATCGAGGAGTAATGGGATAAGTTAAGGTGTTTAAGGAGAATGAAAACACCTGGAAGTGCTGCTGTGATGAACAGGGAGGACAAACAAGGCAGGAGGAGGGCTGTAGGCAGTAACTGAGGCATAGCTGTGGAGTAGAGCCCTGCCTGTCCAATATGTTCAGAGAACCATGGGAAGACAGAGAGGGACAGAGATGCATAATAAAGGAAGCATGGCAGGCTTGGGTTCAAAGACCATAGAGACAAAAGAGAAAAGGAGGGTACTGGAGGTAAAAGGAGGATAAGCTGAAGCATGAGGTAAGAGATTATGCAAAGTAACTTGAGATACATCCACTGGAAAAAAGAAGCTTGGAGAAGATTTGCGGTAAAGAACATTTGTGTGAAGATATCCTCTGTATCAGTGGTCCACATCTGGAGACATTTTTCATTGTCACAGCTGCATGGTGTGGATGCTTTTGTCCTCTAGTAGTTAATGGCCAAAAATATGCTAAATATCGTCCTGCACAAAATCATCTTTCCAGACCCCTCCTCCACACAAAGCATTATGTGATCCCAAATGTCAAAGCTGAGAAAACCTCTTATAGGTCAAAGGTTGTCACAAAATATTGCATAATGTGGAGGGTTGGGATTGTGGCTCAGTGGTAGAGCGCTCGCCTAGCACTACATAAAAATAAAGGCATTGTGTTGTGTCCATCTACACCTAAAAAATAAATATTAAAAAAGAGTTTAAAAAATATTGCATAATGAGGAAATAATTTAATTTTTATTACACCTGAAGATCATACTGTTGTTACCATTCCAGTGAGGTAAAATGTTTTGCTGAGCAGGTTGAACAATATAGTTTAGAGAAAGAGGCCACTTGCCCAGAATTGAGGGGTAAGAGTAACATATAACAGCAGGCTCCAAAGCAACATGGAGAACTTTTGACACACAGGGCAGCAAGCATAGTCAAAAATAAGGGCCAAGACATACAAGTGAACAGTGCTGTTACTAGGGGTGCAAAGAAATTCTGTTAAGTTTGCCAAAATTTCTAATTTTCAAAAGAAGACTACAAATATGAAAGTTGAGAACCAGTTTTCCGGTTTCAGTCACAGAGACAGTTAATATCAACCAAGGCTTTAAGCTTTAATGGAGAATGTGGTCTTATTAAAATAAATATGCCTAGGCTCCATTTAAGGTATTTCTGAAAGCTCCCCTATTGATCCTAATGTATGGTCAGATTTGGAAAGCTCTGGGTTAAGCTGAGGAAAATGAAAAACAAAAACAAACAAAAATCCTCAGAATAAAATTTTGGAAAAATCAGGCTTTAGGGATGGAAAAGAATGACAGCAAATTTCCCAGAATCAACTATTTCAGGCTGAGACTCTCCTGAGGAAGACACTTTCATTTTAGTAATAACTAAATGGCTCCTCCACTCTTTAGGTACCATTTGGTTTCAGGGGATCCTGGGATGAGATAAGATGACAGAGAATTTGTAAAGTCTTGACTTCTTTGTGGTCAAAGTTGGCATTTTCTCACTATGCTTTATAATTATCCTACTGATCCTTTTCCTGATTTGTATTTGTATATACATTTCCTTTAGCCTCATGTTTTAGATTGTAAATAATTAGAAATAAGAAAAAACTGTCTTGATATAATTTAATTTTCTATAGGACAGCTTATGTTTAGTTTGATAGATTTTCTTTTATGTATAAAGTAGAATGATTTGACTTTTAGAATCTTGGATTTCTGTTTTAGTATACAGAATTATTCTTAAGTACTACAATTAAAAAACAACAATAACAACAAACCCTCACCCAGATCATCCTAGGCTCAGAAGAGATTACTTTGTGACTAAGTTAAAGTAAGATCAGTAGCCTTATGGAGACAACTATTCACCAATATTTTAATCATTCACATTTTGTATTATTAGAAGGCTGGGTCAAGCTATGTGGATGTCTTTTAAAGAAAAAAGGGGAGAAGAAAGGAAATTTCTTAGGTGTAAGGCTTATCAGTAGTGTTCTTTTATTCTTTTCCAGATGATGCTTTGAATACTATTTTTTTTTAAATATTTATTTTTTAGTTATTGGCGGACACAACATCTTTGTTTGTATGTGGTGCTGGAGATTCAAACCTAGGCCGCACGCATGCCAGGTGAGCGCGCTACCACTTGAGCCACATCCCCAGCCCCTGAATACTATTTTTTAATGTTTGCATTCCCTAATTTGGGATAAGATCATGGAAGACACCAACATGCTTAAAAAGAAAGCTCTTTTTAGGCATTAAAGTTTCAGTAAATGCTCTAGAGGGAGGTATGTGGTACTATGAGAGGAGTGCTGGCATTAAAGGTAGATGTATACCTCAGCTGTACCATTTTTTGAATTGTGTGATCTTAGAAACACTATTGGCTTCATTATCCTTCACTGCACAAGGGTACTGTGGCTCGAGTGCCCCACAAAGTTCCATTGTGATTAAAGGCTTGGTCCCCAGGGTGGTGAAGATGAAGAATGGAATCTTTGAGGAATGGGGCACAGTGAAAGATCCTTCTTAGGTCACCGAGGGGTAAAAGGTATTTCTTGTGAAACCCCCTTGGCAGTTCCCACAAGAGTGTTATAAACACAAGAGTGTTATAAAACAAGCAAACCTGTCCTGTTTGTCTTCTCTCTCTTTGCTTTTTTTTTTTTTGGTGGTGCTGCGGATTGAATCCAGGGCCTTGTGCATGTGAGGCAAGCACTCTACCAACTGAGATATATTCCCAGCCCATCTCTGCTCCTTTTTGAGAGGTGACCATTTGCTTGTATGTGGGTTCACTGTGATGTGCTGCCATCTGCTACCACACCAGAGGCCAAACTCATGGGATCTACCCATTTATGGACTTTTGATCTTGGGCTTTTTATTTAGCCCCCAAATTGTGAGCTAAATAAACCTCCCTTTCTTCATAGATAGATCATGCCTGATACTTGGATCTAGTAACAAAATGTCGACTAATAAGAATGGGAGAACAACAACCTTTTTGGATTATTGGGAAGATCAGATGAGACAGTAAATGTAACCTGCGGAGAGTACTTGACCCACAGCAGGCACAAAGCAAGTATCAGTCAGTCCTTCCACTGTGTATAATCTATGTTCAGGAAAAAAAAAAAAAAAAGGAAAAAAGAAAAAAGAAAAAGAAATCCAAATCCCAGAAGAAGATGAACACTCTTTGGGTCTCGCTGTAGGGCCTAGTAATTCTGATTGAAGATGCAGAGGAAAAGGGGCTGTTTTCGAAACCCACAGAAATCACACAATAAAAACTCTTAAGGTTTGAAAGTCTGGAGGTTGTGCCATATGTATTCCTTTTATAATACACGTGCAATCAGTTTTTGTGAGGCAAAACTGGTCTTCGTTGACCACAACCTCCCAATATGAGCAATGTGCAGCAGGGTCTTGGCTGGTTAGAAGAGCTGTTGATTAGGAGGCTCTCAGAAGCAAGTGGACACTCATTCTAAAAGGGAGACATACAAACACATTAATATCATTCTTTTCAAATATACAAAGCTGACATACTTGCAGGGCAGAATCCGAACAACATCATTCTGCTTATAGCTCTCTATGCAGACTGCACAATGATCAAAGTCTGGGTCTGTTTCCTGAAACGAAAAGCAAAGGATCACAATTCACATGCTACATGTATAAAATTCAGCTAAGTGTGTTTCTGTGGCAATTACGCTAAGCAAGAGGTTATAAAGTGAAAGGTATTAAAAATAATGTTTCCAATTGTTTAACAACACTGATATAAATTATACCTAAGCCTATCTTTTTCTTAAACTTGTATAATAATCAATACTACTTCTGTCTATGATATATCTTAGACTAAGAGTTCTAACTGCTGTCAAGATTCACATCAACTGTCACCTTGGATCACCATTATCTCTGCCCACCTCCATTTCCACTGTACTACTGGTTTATCTGAACAGGTTTCACAGGAGAATCACTTCATCATCTCCTTAAGTACAGGCACAAAGATGGTGATCCCTCAGCAGACTACTATATAAAGACTTACCCCAGCTATGGGAGCACTGCATCTGGTCACTGATTTGGGGGTAGAGAAAGATAACTGGATCAACTTAATAATGAGTCTTTATCAAGAGTCAAGGAGCCATGCTTAATGTTATATACCTTTCATCCCAGCTACCTGGGAGGCTGAGGCAAAAGGATCACAAATTGAAGGCCGACTTGGGCAACTTAGCGTGACCTTGTCTTAAAATTTAAAAAGAGCAGGGTATGTAGCCCAATGTTAACATGCTTGTCTAGCATGTTTAAGGTCTGTGTTTAATACCCAGTACCACCAAAAGAAAAAAAAAATTAGGAAAAGTGTGTTTAGTCACCAGGATGATTTCCTTCCTCCTCAGGGCTGAAGAGGGTTCTATCTTAATTGTCATAAAACAGCATGCCAACAATCCAAGTCTGGAAAGGTGAACCTATTTGCTGTGTCATTGCCACTTTAACTGCAACTCAGTGGTACAGTTCTTGGCAAGTCTAAGAGATACAAATTAAGATGTGTTGGCTTTAATAATTAAAAGAAAGATTCTATCCCTACCCAAACCAAGGGCCTCACACATCTTAGGTGAGTGTTCCTGCTTCAGCCTCTTGAGTAGCTGAGAGTATATGTGTGCACCACTGCACCTGGATGGTAATATTGTTTGGTGCTAGCATGGAGTAAGAAAGGTAGGTTAGACCAGCTCCTGAGAATTCCAAAATAATGGCAGTTGAAGATCAACAGGCCAAGAAAGACCACTCTTTGGAGTTAAGTACAGCAGCTGTTTTGATGCTGTTTGTATTTTCTGCAAGTGACATTTTCCTTATTCTTTCCTTAGGGTATAATGAAATCCACTACCTCCAAAGCTGTGCCAAAGGCAACTAGATATACTTATGTCAAGGCAGTGGGGATAAAATGAATAAAGTTAAAAAAAAAAGTGAGAAAACTTAAGACAGAGAATCATCTGAAATTCATCCTTTAGGACTCTGCTAAAACATTAACACCGGGTATGAAATAGGAGACAGTTTGAGTTTTATGTCCTTAGATACAATTTTTTCATTCTTGATAAGCCTGAATGACAGTATATAGAAACTTAACATTAAAGGCTATTAATTTGGAGAATCAAGGCTCCACCATAACTAGAACTCTAGTTAAAAATTTCAGTTATAGCTTTTTGTTACTGCCTTTCTTATTTGGTCTCCTTAAGAAGCAGGCCTGGGCTGGGGTTGTGGCTCAGTGGTAGAGCGCTTGCCTAGCATGTGTGAGCCACTGGGTTCAATCCTCAGCACCACATAAAAATAAATAAATAAAATAAAGTTACTGTGTCCATCTACAACTAAGAAATTTTGTTTTTCCCCAAAAGAAGCAGGCCCAACTCTAAAAAAGTGTGTTCTTCTTTTAAAAAAATGCTTAGCATATCGTAAAGAGATCACCCTGTTAACTGAAACATCCTAGAAATACAGGTCTTCAGTTTTAAGGGGGTAAAGAAACAAAACCCAAGAGATGCAAGCAAAAACAAGAAATACAGGCAGATAACACACGTCTCCTGACTATAATGACAAACTGTCCCACAGAATTCTTGGAATAGCCAGCTATGATGGCTCAGGCCTATAGTCCAGCAATTTGGGAGGCTGAGGCAGGAAGGAAGATTGCAAGTTTGAGGATAGCCTCAGCAACTTTGCAAAGACTCTGTCTCAAAATTCAAAATAAAAAGGGCTGGAGTGTAGCTCAGTAGTAACAGTGCCCCTGGGTTCGATTCCTAGTACTGAGAAAGGAAGAAAGGAAGGAAGGAAAGATGGATGAATTAATTCTTGGAAAATATATGCTGGGTTTTAGAGAAAAAAAATCACAGAGTCATCTATAAGTAGTCTTGTAAAGTTACTAATGACAAAAGCTTTGAAGTCCAAGAAAGTGAGAAGGCTAACTGAAGGGCTTTCAGATGACAGGCATAGTAAATCACGATTTCAAAGAGAAGGCTATTTAAAGTTATTTCATTACTGTACCTTATCGCCCTTTTTTACTGTTCTGGTTGTCAATTTACTGATGGCTTTCTTGGCTGCATCTCCAAGACGACGCTACAGAAATGACAAATAAAGACAGACATTAAGTATAAGATCTTCAAATGATGGTCTTTATTTTTTAATAACTGAAGGTATAAAGTCCCTGTTATCCTATACCACTCTTTGTCATATCATGTAAGAGGAGTCTAAAAGAGCAATTCAACATTAGAAATCTGGAGAATCAAGGATATATGTACCATATATTCTATGTTCTGATTATATAAAAAGTTTATTATAGCTGGGTGTCATAATCACATTTGCATTTTATGTTTAATAAATATGTTAAATATGAATGCATTATCACAATCTAATTCTGTGTACTCCAAAGATACTACTCCTGCTCTAACAGCTTTTCCACTATGCTCTAGGGATGATCACTGTTTGGGATATAAACCATCCTAGCAAAAGAAATCTTCAGTGCTCCTTCAAATTTTTATTACAGCATCTACCATGGTCACAAGTTCTACTCTTGCTCTGCTACTACTATGCTCTGTAACTTTAGGAAGGTACATTTACCTACCTACCCAGGGTCAAATTATTCTCATTTGAGAGGGTTAACTCAGATACTATCTCTAGAACTAGATTTATCCAACATTTTGCCAGACATTGCTAGCAATGTCTAATGACCCCAAAAGGAAAGACAGTAAACCCCTAGCCTCGAGACACTGTCTGCATTGGGAAAAGACTAGTAAACATATTCTAATCTAATGTATAAGACAGGCCACTCTGGGTGGGATGACAGGAAAAGGAGGCAACCTCATTTAGGTTGGGGACAGAGCATAGGAATGTCAGGGAAGGATTTGAGAAAATGATGCCAAAGCAAAGACTTGGAAAACTAAGAAGAAAGGAGTTAGATAAGACCATAGAATTAGGAAGCGGGGGTTTTAGACAAAGGAAGTTTGTAGACCTAAAGAAAAACTGGTGTAAAAAACAGGTGTGGGAAGGGATGTACACTTTAATTTAATTACTATGAGCAGCTATTTGAGTGCTCAAATCAGAATGCTTTGTGAGTCAAGAGTTCACACTGGGAGGATGGGTACAAACTGAAACTGCCCCAGGCATACTGGGAGAGATGGTCATTTATATACAACTATAACTGAAACTGTGAGCAGAGGCAGATGCTGAAGCTAAAGAAATAAGGTTAGGACTAAAATAAGGGGGAGACTTCAGATTCTTTCAGGGGGATTTAAAAAAAAAATCACATTGTCTTTTAGACCACACTACAATTTCCCTAGTTATCTACAGAATGACTTTTAATAGTTGGCTTATTTGAATCAGGATACAAATTCAAACACTAAGTGTTCCTAAGTCTTGGTTCCTAAGTCTCTAAAATCTCTTAGCCTGAGTTCCGTCTATCATACTCCCCCTCATTTTTAATAGTTTTATGGAGATATGACTTAATTACATATACTTAGAGGGTACACTTTGACATATATTAAATATTACACTTTGAAACTATGTACTTGTATTTTCAAGAACTACTTTAGTTGCATCCTCTAAATTTTAATACATTTAATTCATTTTCATTCAGTTTAAATTGTTTTCCAATTTCCCTTTTAATATCTTCTTTATCCCATTAATTGTTTAGAAGTTAATTTCCAAATATTTAGGGTATCTCAGAGATACTTGTTATTGATTTCTTACTTAATTTCAAGTGGTTAGAGAACATATTTTGTGTGAACTTGAATCCTTTAAGGAATCTATTGAAACTAACTCCAGAGGATGAGGTAGAAGGAATTCAAGTTTGAGGTCAGCTTGGGCAACTTAGGGAGAGCCTATTTAGAGGAAAAAAAAAAAAAAAGAATAAAAGAGACTGGAGATGAAGTTCTGTGGTAAAATGTTCCTGGGTTTAATCCCCAGTAGCAGGGTAGGAGTGGGGAATAAGAATCTATTGAGATCTGTTTTATGGTCTTGAGTGCACTTCAAAAGACTGTGTATCTTACTTTTGCTGGATGGCGTTTTCTATAAATGTCAATCAGGTCACATTTGGTATTTATGTTATTTGTATTTTATATACTTACTGATTTTTTGGTCTATTTATTTTTCTAGTTTTCAAGAGGGGTTTTGAACTCTCCAACTATAATTATAGTTTTATTTATTTCACACTGTAGTTCTGGGTCCTCACTTCAAGTTTTTGAAGCACTTTTACTAGACGCATAACCATTCAGGATTATAACATCCTCTTGTTCAAGTGACCAGTTTATTAAGAAGTCAATTTTATGCCTGGCAATAACTGCCCTGAAATCTACTCCAGTATTAATGTAGCCACTTCAACTTTAATTTGTGTTGGTATGGTAAAACTTTTTCATCCTTTTAACCTATTCATATTTTTATACTTATTTGTTTATTGTAGTGTTTGAGATCAATCCCAAGGCCTCATACCAAGCTCTGTATCCCAATCTCTTAATCTCTGCTTCAAATGAGGGTATTTAGGCATATACTTTAGTGTGATTATGGATATGGTTATGTTTAAGTCTATCTACTTGGTATTTGTTTTCTATTCCCTTTTCCCCTTTTTGGGCTGAGAAATTTAATGATTTTAATGACTCCATATATCTCCTTTGTTGATTATTATTTTAAAAATATTTATTCTTAAGTTTTAGGTGGATACAATATCTTATTTTACATTTATGTGGTGCTGAGGATAGAACCCAGTTCCTCATGCACGCTAGGCGAGCACTCTACCACTGAGCCCCAGCCCCAGCTCGATTATTATTCTTATTTAGTGGTTAAATAAGTGGTTGCTTTAGGATTAACATATATATATATATTTTGGTACCACCAATTGAATCCAGGGGTGCTTAACCACTGAGCCATATCCTCAGCCCCTTTCATCTGTTTTTTCATTCATTCATTCATATATTTATTTTGAGACAGTTTCTAAGTTGATTAGGGCCTAAGTTGCTGAGGCTGGCTTTGAACTTGTAATCCTCCTGCCTCAGCCTCCCAAGACATGAGATCATACATATGCACCACCATGCCTGGTTTAACCCACACATATGTAATCACAGTTGAACTTCAAGTAATTATACTCATTCTGTACAATATGAAAGCCTTATATAGTATACTTTGATTCCCCTCTTGGCCTTTGTGTTATTGTTGTTATCCATTTTACTTATAAATAAATTTAACATACTCTACATAGTTATCATGTTTCAATTATCTTTTTAAGTCATTAAAACATACATAACATTAAATTTGCCACCTAAACCATTTTTAAGTGTACAGCTTAGTGAGTCAAATATATCACTGTTGTGCATCTCAAACTCTTAACCTTACAAAACAAAAACAATATGCATGAGATAGCTACTCCCCAATCTCCTTTCCTCCAGTCCTTGGCAACAACCATTTTACTTTCTGTTTCTATAATTTTGACTATTCTAGCTACCTTATAAGAGGAATCAAAGTGTTTTTCTTTTTTTTTTTAATATTTATTTTTTAGTTTTCGGCGGACACAACATCTTTGTTTGTATGTGGTACTGAGGATCGAACCCGGGCCGCACGAGCGCGCTACCACTTGAGCCACATCCCCAGCCCTCAAAGTGTTTTTCTTTGGCATATTTCACATTGCATAAAATCTTCAAGCTTCATCCTCATTATAGCAAGTCTCAAAATTTCCTTTCTTTTTGAAGGCTGAATAATATTCTGGTTCTATGTATATGTGACATTTTATTTATCCACTTATCTGTAGATGGGATCTTGGGTTGGGCTACTTCTGCCTTTTGCCTATTAACAATTATGTTGCTATGAACATGGGTAAAACAAATGATCTATTTGAGTCTGTTTTCTATTCTTTCAGGTATGAAACCAGAGTGGAGTAATTGCATCATATTAAAATTAATGCTGAACGTTTTGAGAAATTGCCATATCATTTTTCACAGTAGACAAATCACTTTACATATGTACTGGCAATACACGAGGTTCTAATTCCTCCAGATTTATGCGAACTGTTATTGGTTTTTTGTTTTTATATTAGCCATCCTAATGGGTATCCAGTGATAACTCATTATGGTTTGATTTGCATTTCCTTAATGATTAGTGATATTAAGCATCTTTTTATGTGCTTATTGGGCACTTATATTTTCTTTGGAGAAGTATATATTTATTCTTTGGTCTATTTTTAGGTTTTTTTTTTTTTTACTATACTACATACAGTACAGTAAAAAGTTCTTTAAGTAAAGAGTTCTTTAAATATTATGGATATTAACCCCCTTAAGATTTGAAAATATTTTGTCCCATTCAATGGTTGCCTTTTTGTTGTTGATTTTTTTATGCACAGATGTTTTTATTTTTTATGTAATTTTATTTATTTCATTTTTTATTACAGAATTCTAGTTACACATAAAAGCTGGGTTCATTTTGACAAAATCATAAATGCATGAAATTTGATTTACTCCATTTCAGTCCCCATTTTCCCCACTTCCCCTCCTCTCGTCCTCCCCCTATTCTCCTTCCTCTATCTTACTATGCATATATGTCTTTAATTTTGATGTATGTACTTCACTGTATCAATTCCTCCTCATTTCCTTTTGGTACCAGAACCAAGAAATCAATGCCAGATTCGGTGTTACAAAGCTTTTCTCCTACATCTTATTCTAAAATTTTATAGTTCTGGCTCTTGTGTATAGGTCTTTGGTCCATTCTGAATTAATTTCTGTAAACAGTGTAAGAGTTCAACTTCATTCTTTTACATGCTGACAACCAGTTTTCCTACCACTGTTATTAAAGACTTTCCTAACCCCAATGAATGATCTTGGCACCCTTTTCTATTCTACTGGCATACAGATCTGTCTTTATGCCAGTACCAAACTGGGTTGATTGTAATTTTGTAGCACAATTTAAAACTGGGAAGCATGAGACCTTTAACTTTTCCTTCTTTTAAAATAATTTTTAGCTATTGAGGATCTCTTGAGATTTCATATATATTTTAGCATGGATTTTTCTATTTTGGAGAAAAAATAGCATTAGGATTTTGATAAGAACTTCAATGAATAGCTGGATCACTTTAGGTAGTA